CAATATAACGTGAGTGCATAGCGAGTGCGCCGGATAAGCGAGCGCGCCACCCCAACAAGCCATTGGGGCTCTACCACCTCAAACCTCAATGTCTCAACAACCCAATTTTGAACTGCTTTTAAAAGAGGAGAGGATTAAGCTTGCCCTTTAAGCAATTAAAGAGCCACAAAAATTAAGTGTGTGACGCGCAGCTGTTGTCTACAACATATCCTGAAGGTTAATTAACTATTAACGCGCTAGGACACAGTTAACACGCAATACCTACCCTAAATTAGCAAACCTGCAAAAGATAGAAGAGAGGACGCTTGTGCAGTATATTAGGAAGCTAGATTCCTAAGGATTTGCCCCAACGCTTCATTGTGTTGAAGATATGGCTAATCAACTGCGCGCTGCACGCGGCGCAAAGCCTGTTGGCCTATGATGGGCTTTAAACTTTGTTAAACGTGAACCTAGACTTAAATTATATATAACTTGACAGAGGGATTGCTAGAGAGTCTTGTGCAGTAATCTAGAGGTTATTAGGCCTTAGTTTGACCTTGTACACAATGTTAAGGCTAAGTACAGCACCCTAGATAAAGATACCTATAACTTTGACAATACTAGCTTTACTATAGGCATTAGAAACCGCGTTAAAGTAGTCACTGCATTAGAGAGACGTACTAAGCCTATTAGGTTGCAACAGGGGGACTATAAGTAGGTGACTTTTATTGCTGCAATTAACGCGATAGGCTGGGCAATTGCGCCCTACCTTATCTTTAAAGCAAAGAACCACAACGCGTCCTAGTACCCTGATTTAAGGCTACAATGGCGCATTGGGGTCAGCAACAACGGCTAGACTACAAACAATATTGGTGTAGCCTGGTTAAGGCACTTCATTGAGCAGATTAAGGGCCAGAGGGTGGGTAGCCATGTGCTGCTGATAATCAACAGCCACGAAAGCCACAAGTCGCTTGCCTTCTAGAATCTTTGCAAGGAGAACAAGATAATTACCCTATGTATGCCCCCACACTCATCGCACATCCTGCAGCCACTTGATGTGGGCTGTTTTGCCCCCTTAAAGCAGGAGTATAGTAAAGAGATTAGAGTCTTAGCAACAGACTACATTAGCCAAATTAATAAGAAGGCCTTTATTGCAACATTTGCAAAGGTTTTTAAGAAGGCGTTCTTAAAGGCAAACATCACATCAAGCTTTAAGGCAACTAGCTTACTGCCTAATAATCTATTAGTAGTGCTATTAAAGCTTAATGTCAAGCTTTAGACGCCAACACCGCCTCTACTAGGGGGGACCTAATAGAACCCTAAGACACCCACTAACGCCAATAAGATAGAGTCTTAATCAACACTGCTTCGCAATTGTATTTAAAAGCACTAAGGATTGTCACTAACTCTAATGGTAGAGATTGTTAATCAGCTGCAGAGAGGCACTGCAATGCTACTGCATAGGCAGACGTTATTGGCAGCCTGAGTGCTGCAGCTTAAAGCGTTAAACAAGGCTGCTTCTAAGCGCAAATCACGCAAAAGAAAGTAGATCTAGAAGGGTGGAGACCTTTTAAAGGAACAGGTAGAGGATTTAATAGCCTAATGCAACGTTAGGGCGCAGGTAGAGGGGGAAACGCGTGAGAGTAGGGCCTGAACAGGTGCAGGAAGCAGGGCAAAAGGCACTGCAAGTGCTGCAGTGAGACAGGGCACAACTCGCGCATGTGTAAAAAAGATGTAGTAGATGTTAGCGATTAAGAATATATACTGTTGCCTATAGTATAACGTTGTGGTGTTGAGCAATTGCGTGTAGAAGGCCTAATAGCTTGTTGGGGTGGCGCGCTCGCTTATCCGGCGCACTCGCTATGCACTCACGTTACCCAAAAACAGAAAGCTCTAAATGTAGCTATAGATATACACAAACACCTCAACACCTACTGCTTAGCTGTAGAAACTACAGAGAAGCAAGAAAGAAAATAAAGAGCAGCCTACAGGAGACAAGACTTACAATGTCCCTTCTCCTAGACACAGACAGGGGAATCCAAGCTACACTAGCTTTTATTCAAGAAACTAAAGTAGGCACACGCAAGTGGTACCTACAGCAAACAACAGACAACTAATTTCCTTGGTTTATAACTAGAGCACAGGCTCTCACTATATGTCTACGAACCTATATATACTATTCCCTTACACAGAAAAAACTTGTAAATTACTAGAGCAGCCCCACTGCTCTCGTCCTATATAGTCTTAGACTCACACAGGACGTTAAACTAATCAATCAATCAATCAATAGGGAGAAAACTTATTAACAAACAAATAGCGCGTAGGCAGGCTAAGGCAGCTGCTATAGGTCTAAGGAACAAGCCTAATAGAAGGTAGATATAGTTAAGGAGCATAATTAAGGAGATTGCTATAGACCTTACAGACAGATAGAGGAGGAGATGGGAGCTTCACGCAGCAAAACCTTACAGGTCGGCGCCTACGTGGAAGGAGAGCTGGGATTTCTAGCCACTGCATCTATATGACAGCGTTCCCAAACACGTAGCTACAGCAATTGTGTTGCTACGCATAGAGGTCCTTGGGCTTAAGGCGTGGCTAGCACGAATTAGGGTACTAGGCACTAACCCTGACTGCATGTGTGGACACCCTACATCGGGAAAAGTTTTTCCATTGTCGAAATCGGGAAATCGTGGCATTGTACTGTGGGCAACAGTAGGACTTGTAGGCCTACAACAGTTATTCAATGTGCATTCAATGTCTAGCCAATTTTGAGCTAACAGCTCCAACAGTCCTAACAGCTGCAATAGCCACAACAACTCCTAATCCTGCTACAATAGTAGCTCTGCTTAATAAACTATACTTTTATTATATTAATATACTACTATGTCTCCTCTTTAAAATAAGCTATTAAATAACATTATAGGCCTAGTAATAGAATAGTTATTAAGTGTAGAAGGTTTTAAGCTTAATATTCCTTGCTAAGACACTAAGTTAAGATTCTTCGCTAGGGCTCTAGCAGCCTGAATGTTAGAAAATATAAGAATATTATTCAAGAATAGTAGGTAAACCAAGAATTTTACGCCTAGGCCTGCCTGTTCTGCA